TTGGGAGGCCAAGGTGGGTGGATCACAAGGTCAGGAGTTCTAGACCAGCCTGGCCAACATGGTGAAATCCTGTCTCTACTAACAATAGAAAAATAAGCCAGGCATGGTGGTGCACACCTGTAGTCCCAGCTACTTGGAAGACTGAGGCAAGAGAATCACTTGAACCCAGGAGGCGGAGGTTGCAGTGAGCCGAGATCACATCACTGCACTCCAGCCTGGGTGACAGAGTGAGATTCCATCTCAAAAAAAAAAAAAAAAAAAAAAAGACTTACCCAAAAAGCTCATAGATCTGATACATGAATTCAATAAAGTTTTAGGATACAAAATCAATGTACACAAATCAGTAGCACTGCTGTACACCAACAACAAAGCTGAGAAACAAATCGAGAACTCAATCCCTTTTACAACAGCTGCAAAAAATAAAATAAAATACGCTGGAATATGCTGAACCAAGAAGGTGAAAGATCTCTGCAAGGAAAACTGCAAGGCACTGCTGAAACAAATCACTGAGAATGCAAACAAATGGAAACACATTCCATGCTCATAGATGGGTGGAATCAATGCTGTGAAAATGATCATACTGCCAAAAGCAGTCTATGGAGTCAATGCAATTCCCATCAAAATATCATCAGCATTTTTTATGGAGCTAGAAAAAGTAATCCTAAAATTTGAATGGAACAACAAAGGCCAGCATAGTCAAAGCAAGACTAAGCAAAAAGAACAAATCTGCAGGCATCACATTACTTGACTTTATACTATAAGCCTATAGTTACCAAAACAGTATGGTACTGGTATAAAAATAGGCAAGTAGACAATGGAACAAAATAGAGAACCCAGAAATAAAACCGAATACTTATAGCCCACTGATCTTTGACAAAGGAAACAAAAACATAAAGTGGGAAAAAGACACCCTATTCAACAAATGGTGCAGGGATAACTGGCAAGCCACATATAGAAGAGTAAACTGAATCCTCATCTATCAACTTATACAAAAATCAACTCAAGATGGATTAAAGACTTGAATCTGGGCTGGGCATGGGGGCTCAGAACTGTAGTCCCAGCACTTTTGGGGGCCAAGGTGGCCGGATCACTTGAAGTCAGGAGTTCAACACCAGCCTGGCCAACATGGTGAAGCCCTGTCTCTACTACAAATAGAAAAAATTAGCCAGGTGTGGTGGTGGGCACCTGTAATCCTAGCTAGTGGGGAGGCTGAGGCACGAGAACCTAGGAGGTGGAAGTTGCAGTGAGAGAAGATTGTGCTACTGCACTGTAGCCTGGGTAACAAAGCAAGATTCTGTAGAAAGAAAGAGAGAGAGAGACAGAAAGAAAGGAAGGAAGGAAGGAAGGAAGGAAGGAAGGAAGGAAGGAAGGCAGGCAGGCAGGCAGGCAGGCAGGCAGGCAGGCTGGCTTAAATCTAAAACCCCAAACCATAAAAATTCCAGAAAATAACATTGGTAAAACTCTCCTAAACATTGGTTTAGGCAAAGAGTTCATTACCTACCAAGAACCCAAAAGCAAATGCAACATAAACGAAAATAAATAGATGGGATCTAATTAAACTAAAAGGCTTCTGTACTGCAAAAGAAATAATCAGCAGAGTAAATAGACAACCCACAAAGTGGGAGAAAATATTCTCAAACTATACATCTGATAAAGGACTAATATCTTGAATCTACAGCGAACTCAAACAAATCACCAAGAAAAAAAAAAAAAAAAAAAAAAAAACTATCAAAAAGTGGCCAAAGGAAATGAATACACAATTCTCAAAAGAAGATATGCAAATAGCCAACAAACATATGAAAAAATAGTCAACATCACGATCAGGAAAATGCAAATTATAACCACAATGAGATACCACCTACTCTTGCAAGAAAGGCCATAATTTAAAAACAACGTAAAATAGATGTTGGCATGGATGTGGTGGAAAGAGAACACTTTTACACTGCTGGTGGGAATATAAACTAGTACAACCACTATGGAAAACAGTGTGGAAATTTTTTAAAGAACTAAAAGTACAACTACAATTTGATCCAGCAATCCCACTACTGGGTATCTATCCAGAGAAAATAAGTCATTATACAAAAAAGATACTTGCACATGCAAGTTTATAGCAGCACAACTCACAATTGCAACAATATGGAACCAACCTAAATGCCCATCAATCAATGAATAAAGAAAATGTGGTATGTATATACATCATGAAATACTACTCAGCCATAAAAAGGAATGAAATAATGACATTCACAGCAACCTCATGGAGCTGGAAACCATTATTCTAAGTGAAGTAGCTCAGGAATGGAAAACCAAATATTACATATTCTCACATCTAAGTGGAAGCTAAACTATGAAGACTCAAAGGCATAAGAATGATATAATGGACTTTGAGGACACTGGGGAAAGAGGGGAAGGGTAGTGAAGGATAAAAGACTACATATTGGATATGATTTACACTGCTTGGGTGATTTGTGCAGCAAAATCTCAACTATCACCACTAAAGAACCCATCCATGTAACAAAACCCACTAGTTTCCCCAAAACAATTGAATTTCCTCTTTTAAAAAGGTAGATACCTTGTAGAAAAGGACCATTGATTACATGCTCGTAGAAATTTTGCTTTACCATTTCAGCCACCATATGCCTGCTGTGTGCCCAGAACTTGGGATTCAAAGACAAAGATTTCCGGTTCCCTTCCTCCAACAGGTGCTTGTGGCCTGGTGGGGAGCAGACAACATGTGCACATAGATGAACTGAAGCACCAAGCACCAAGCTCATTCAAGTTATTGGCATGAAGAGTGTGATGAGCAGGGAAAGGAAGCCATCCTTTGGCCTGGAGAAGTTGAAGAGGGCTCTCAGGGGATGTTAGAACTGAGTGGTAACAGTCAAAGCAGAGGAGTGGAAGTGTCATGCCTGGCATGCCTGGCATGACTGCCAAGGAACTGTGGCCACATGCAGTTCTCATTGCAGGCCAGCCTCCAGTGAGAACACAATTCTGGCGTTACAATGCAGGTCGGTGTCCTGTATTAGCTTTCTTTGCTGCATAACACATTGCCACTAATTTAGGGGCTTGAAACCACATCCGTTCATTATCTCACAGTTCCTATGTCAGAAGTCCTGCAAGGCATGGCTGGATTCTCTGCTCCGTGTCTTACAAGGTGGGAATAAAGGTGTCAGCAAGTTGTGTTCCTTTCTGGAAGGCCCTGAGGAAGAATTAACTTTCAAACTCATTCAAGTTGTTGGCAGAACTTAGTTCCTTACAGTTCCCTTCATCTTCAAGGCAGCAGTGTCCCATCCAGGCACACTGAGTCTTTCATAAGCTTCAAATTTCTCCTCTCCCTTCTGCCTTCATCTTTAACTTTTAAGGGCTCATCCACTGGGTGATTCCATTGGGCCAACTCAGATAATCCAGTATAGCCTCCATATTTAAAAGTCAACTCATTAGAAACCTGTCCACAAGGCTCTTTTGCCTTGTAAAGTAACAGACAGTCCCAGAAATTAGGGTGTGAATTCTCTTAGAGGACTGTAATTCTGCCTGCCAGTCTCCCACCTGGATCTTGCTAGAAATCATTACCTAGCACCAAGTCTTTATTTAATTTTTATTTTTAGAGAGAGGTATTGCTCTGTTGCCCAGGCTGGATTGCAGTGGTGCAATCACAGCTCATTGCAGCCTGAACCTCCTAAGCTCAAGCCATCCTTCACCTCTGCTTTGAGTAGCCAACTGTAGGTGTGCCACCATGCCTGGCTATTTACTATTATTATTATTATTATTATTTTTGAGATGGAGTTTCACTCATGTTACCCAGGCTGGAGTGCAATGGCGCGATCTCGGCTCACCGCAACCTCCGCCTCTTGGGTTCAGGCAATTCTCCTGCCTCAGCCTCCTGAGTAGCTGGGATTACAGGCACACGCCACCATGCCCAGCTAATTTTTTGTATTTTTAGTAGAGGCGGGGTTTCACCATGTTGACCAGGATGGTCTCTATCTCTTGACCTCGTGATCCACCCGCCTCGGCCTCCCAAAGTGCTGGGATTACCTGCTTGAGCCACCGCGCCCGGCCTTATTTACTATTATTTTTTAAGCGATCTGGTGTCGCTATGTTGCCTAGGCTGGTCTCAAACTGCTGGGCTCAAGCGATCCTCTAGTCTTGGCCTCCCAAATTGCTCGGATTACAGGCAGGAGCCACTGGCCTGGCCTAGCACCAAGTCTTGATGAACCGCCCAGAGGGACATCACACCTCCTGCCAGGTGACAGGGACAGTCGCAGCTCCTCCAGGCTTCTCTCTCCTCTGACAGGAGTCTGTGAAGTTGGTGGACAAAGGAGCCCAGGACCACCTCCTCCGCCTACCAGGGCTTAACTGACAGTTGGCCCCCAAGTACTTATCATTATTATTGTTTTAACTTCATGATCAACGTTTTAAAAACTCAGGAGCCAACCCATTAAAACTGATTTCCGCTTTCTCTTGAAAATTCAGCAGCTCTGGCAACCCTGAGTTCCAGGTCGGGCTGGAAATTGGAGCTCCCCATGGGAAGAGGGACGGGCCGGCGCCACCTCTCAGGAGGGATCTGCCCCGAGGGGCCCCACTAGATGCTCGCACTATGCTCTCCTGGGGGCTCCCCTAGGACGGGGAGGGAACTAATAATTACTGGGTCTTGGCCAGCTGCAGCCGCGGCTCCTACATTACCTGATTTAATTCTCCAAACTTGGGAGGAAGGCATCCTTCTATTCTCCTGATCAGAAAGCTAGGCACTGTCCCATTGCCAGGCTACACAGTTGGTGCCATTTGCCGAGGTGACCTCTAACTCACGTGGCCGCCAGCCCAAGCTCTTCCCCACGCGGCCCCTAGCTCGTCCCGCTCCCCTCAGGCCGCGGGATCCGCTTTCCCTGCCCTGGGTCCAGCGAGTCGACGGGGAAGGGGCCGGAGTCGGGGAGCCAGCGCCGCCGTTGCCGGTCCTCCGCCCTCAGGCCCACCCGCCGTGGTCACGTGAAGGATCGAGCGCCGCGCGCCCAGGCCGGTCCTCCCGCCGGCCCGAGGAGGGCAGAATCCGCCGCAGCTGCTGCCCCGACGTCCGCACATCCCCTCTCGCAGCGCAGCCGCCGCGATGCCCTGGGCTGGTCGAGCCGCAAGGGTGAGCCGCCTGCGCCCGCAGTCCCCCGAAGATCTTCCGACCCGGGAGGTAAGTAGGACTTTCAGGCTGCGCCCGCAGGGCGCCCCGACGGCAGCGCCTCCAGCTCCGCGATTGCCCTCCTGGTGCCAGGCACCTCCAGGGCTCTCAGGGAGAAAGCGAACCGTCTGGAAGCCACTGCCGGCTGCAGGGAATGAGGGCCCGTGGGCGCAAGAGGGACTAGGAACCCCTCTGCTTTGGGTCTTCCTCGGTCCCCTGCGCCCCGGGAGCCACACTGGCTGCTAATCCGGAAGGCGCACGGCCAGCTGGAGCGCAGCTAGCACACTGGAGTCAGTTGGGGAGCTGTCAAGCCCAAGCGTCTAGACAAGCCTCCCACTCTCCGTTGCTGAGCTGGCATCCGCGCCGGGGCTCCAGGTTGGGGGCCTTTTTCACTCAGTGAGGCGCGCACCCTTGTCTCAGAGACCAGTGCGCGCCCCCACGTAGCTCCAAAGCAACAGGAAAACAACCAAGGGTCCTGCTGCAGGGAAACGCCCGGAAAGAAGTCTGCAGGATGTGGGCCGCGGGAGTGCTGATGCAGCCCCAGTTCTTCCGATGCCTGCGGGACACAGCAGATGGGCTGCGCAGCTGCCCAGCTGCTCAGGGACAGTTTCGCTGAGACAGCCTGAGCTTCTTTGAAAGAGTTGGAGCTTCCAAGCGACCCTTCTTCAGTTCTTGCACTGTGCAAGAACTAAGACAGTGGAGAGAAAGGCGAGAACTTCAATGGCAGGAGCCCCTGCTCTGATTCAGGAAATCTGAGTCCTGAATTACACTATAATGGGCTGGCAAAAGTCATGAAGACCGTGGGTGACAACGTCGGTCAGGCCCTGGCACAGTGCCTGGCACACAGTCATGACAGCCAATCTTTAGACCCCTCAGGGTCGATGCTGCATCTCCTTTGCATTGTGCAAGTGTGTGGGAGGTGGAGAGTGTTTTGGTTCATTCTTCCTCTCAGTCTTGAACTGGCCCCCTTCAGCTCTGGGCTGCGGCGTTATCACCCCTGCCGCTCCCCACTGGGCTCTTGAAGCCTGCTGGAGAGGGTCCAGAGGGCAGGCTTGTGTGTGGGGTTGAAAAGCTCTGCCAGGCAGGCAAGGTGGCTCAAGCCTGTAATCCTAGCTACTCCACAGACTGAGGAGGGAAGATTGCTTGAGGCAGGAGGTTGAGGTTGCAGTGAGCTATGATTGTGCCACTGTACACCAGCCTGGGCAACAGAGCAAGACCCCATCTTAAAAACAAACAAACAAACAAAAAAAAAACCTCTGGTGCATTGGCCTCCCTCCCTGGCCTGCTGGTCTCCCAAAGGGGCTTGACCACATCCAGCAGATGCATTCTACCATGTCTCCTAAATCTCAAGGGAGCAGGTAAAGGAGAAGGAAGGGGAAGTTCCTTTGTCCATAGCTTTGGCCTTGCTCCTGCCATCTAAGATAACAGCACTGATTGTGTCATTAAATCAGAGATAGTGTCTAGATCTTCCCTCCCCAGGTTCTGACCTTGGGCACTCCGTGGCCAATATAACTGGGCTAACGTTGTCTAAGAATTAGTTTGGATTCATGTAACTAGAACCTGCCTAGTCACCTGAAATGCATCAACACCCTCTCCTTTCAAGTAGCTTTTTTAGGACTCTTCCGATTGGAGTTTCCGTTTTTGACTACTAAGATGGCAATCTACTTCTTTGGGGGAATTTATCAGCACTTTCCACTTTGAAATGAAATAACCCAGTGCCAGTGATTCTCAATTTTGCCATTGGCTGGCATTAGCTAGGGAGCTTTTAGGATTGTAACCAGTTCAGGCTCTACCCCTGAGATTCTGATGTAATTGATGTGGATATGTCCTGGGCAATAGTAACTTTCAGGCTACTTAGTGATTCAAAAGTACCACCAGGGCTGACAGCCTGTGTCTTATGCCGTTTCTTTGTGACAGTTCTTTGTGGTGGCCTCTTGATACTTTATGTGCTTCATTTTTTTTTTTTTTTTTTTTTTTTTTGAGACAGAGTCTCACTCTGTCACCAGGTGCCAGGCTGGAGTGCAGTGGTGCGATCTTAGCTCACTGCAACCTCCGCCTCCCAGGTTCAAGCAATTCTCCTGCCTCAGCCTCCTGAGTAGCTGGAACTACAGGCACACGCCACCATGCCCAGCTAATTTTTGTATTTTTTTAGTAGAGACGGGGTTTCACCATGTTGGCCAGGATGGTCTCGATCTCTTGACCTCATAATCTGCCCGCCTCAGCCTCCCAAAGTGCTGGGATTACAGGCGTGAGCCACCGCGCCCAGCCTTTTTGAATGTTCTTATTCTTTTTTCTCCCCCCATTTATTTATTTTGTTGCATTTTAGGTTTTGGGGTACATGTGAAGAACATGCAAGATTGTTGCATAGGTACACACGTGGCAGTGTGTTATGCTGCCTTCCTCCCCATCACCTACATCTGGCATCTCTCCCCTTGCTATCTCTCCCCAACTCCCCACCCCCCACCGTCCCTCCCCTATTTCCCCCCAACTGACCCCAGTGTGTAGTGCTCCCCTCCTTGTGTCCATGTGTTCTCATTGTTCAACATCCGTCTATGAGTGAGAACATGCGGTGTTTGATCTTCTGCTCTTCTGTCAGTTTGCTGAGAATGATGGTTTCCAGGTCCATCCATGTCCCTACAAAGGACACAAACTCAACATTTTTGATGGCTGCATAATATTCCATGGTGTATATGTGCCATATTTTCCCTGTCCAGTCTATCATCGATGGGCATTTGTGTTGGTTCCAGGTCTTTGCTATTGCAAACAGTAATGGGATTGCTGGGTCAAATGGAATTTCTATTTCTAGGTCCTTGAGGAATCGCCACGCTGTCTTCCACAATGGTCGAACTAATTTACACTCCCACCAACAGTGTAAAAGTGTTCCTATTTCTCCACATCCTCTCCAGCATCTATTGTCTCCAGATTTTTTAATGATCGCCATTCTAACTGGTGTGAAATGGTATCTCAATGTTGTTTTGGTATGCATTTCTCTGATGACCAGTGATGATGAGCATTTTTTCATATGTTTGTTGGTCTCATGTATGTCCTCTTTTGTAAAGTATCTGTTCATATCCTTTGCCCACTTTTGAATGAGCTTGTTTGTTTTTTTCTTGTAAATCTGTTTTAGTTCTTTGTAAATTCTGGATATCAGCCCTTTGTCAGATGGGTAAACTGTAAAAATTTTTTCCCATTCTGTTGGTTGCCGATTCACTCTAATGACTGTTTCTTTTGCCATGCAGAAGCTGTGGAGTTTGATTAGGTCCCATTTGTCTATTTTGGCTTTTGTTCTCAATGCTTTTGGTGTTTTGGTCATGAAGTCCTTGCCTACACCTATGTCCTGAATGGTTTTGCCTAGATTTTCTTCTAGGGTTTTTATGGTGTTAGGTCTTATGTTTAAGTCTTTAATCCATCTGGAGTTAATTTTAGTGTAAGGTGTCAAGAAGGGGTCCAGTTTTTGCTTTCTGCACATGGCTAGCCAGTTTTCCCAACATCATTTATTAAACAGGGAATCCTTTCCCCGTTGCTTGTTTTTGTCTGGTTTGTCATAGATCTGATGGTTGTAGATATGTTGTGTTGCCTCCGAGACCTCTGTTCTGCTCCACTGGTCTATATCCTCTGTTTTGGTACCAGTACCATGCTGTTTGATTACTGTAGCCTTGTAGTATAGTTTGAAGTCTGGTAGTGTGATGCCTCCCACTTTGTTCTTTTTGCTTAGAATTGACTTTGTTATGTGGGCTCTCTTTTGGTTCTATATGAAGTTTAAGGTGGTTTTTTCCAGTTCTGTGAAGAAGGTCATTGGTAGCTTGATGGGGATAGCATTGAATCTGTAAATTACTTTGGGCAGTATGGCCATTTTCACGATATTGATTCTTCCTAACCATGAACATGGAATGTTTCTCCATCTGTTTGTGCCCTCTCTTATTTCGCTGAGCAGTGGCTTGTAGTTCTCCTTGAAGAGGTCCTTTACGTTCCTTGTTTATTGTATTCCTAGGTATTTTATTCTCTTTGTGGCAATTGTGAATGGAAGTTCGTTCTTGATTTGGCTCTCTTTAAGTCTGTTATTGGTGTATAGGAATGCATGTGATTTTTGCACATTGATTTTGTATCCTGAGACTTTGCTGAAGTTGCTTATCAGTTTCAGGAGCTTTTGGGCTGAGACGATGGGGTCTTCTAGATATACAGTCATGTAATCTGCAAATAGAGACAATTTGACTTCCTCCTTTCCTATTCGAATACCCATTATTTCTTTTTCTTGCCTGATTGCTCTGGCTAGAACTTCTAGTACTATATTGAATAGGAGTGGTGAGAGAGGGCATCCTTGTCTGGTGCCAGATTTCAAAGGGACTGCTTCCAGTTTTTGCCCATTCAGTATGATATTGGCTGTTGGTTTGTCATAAATAGCTTTTATTATTTTGAGATACGTTCCATCAATACCTAGCTTATTGAGGGTTTTTAGCATAAAGGGCTGTTGAATTTTGTCAAAGGCCTTCTCTGCATCAATTGAGATAATCATGTGGTTTTTGTCTTTGGTTCTGTTTATGTGGTGAATTACGTTTATAGACTTGCGTATGTTGAACCAGCCTTGTATCCCTGGGATGAAGCCTACTTGATCATGGTGGATAAGCTTTTTGATGTGCTGTTGCAATTGGCTTGTCAATATTTTATTGAAGATTTTTGCATCTATGTTCATCATGGATATTGGCCTGAAGTTTTCTTTTCTTGTTGAGTCTCTGCCGGGTTTTGGAATCAGGATGACGTTGGTGTCATAAAATGATTTGGGAAGAATTCCCTCTTTTTGTATTGTTTGGAATAGTTTCAGAAGGAATGGTGCCAGCTCCTCTTTGTATGTCTGGTAGAATTCGGCTGTGAACCCATCTGGACCTGGGCTTTTTTTGGGTGGCAAGCTCTTAATTGCTGCCTCAACTTCAGACCTTGTTATGGGTCTGTTCAGGGTTTCGGCTTCTTCCTGGTTTAGGCTTGGGAGGAGGCAAGTGTCCAGGAATTTATCCATT